AAGCCACCCCTTTACTCTGCATTTGTGAGTTTGGATACTTTAGATGCCCCATATGAGGGAATCCCATATGGTATTTCAGAACTGAGATCTTTCAACCCACAAAAGAATCTGGCCTTGGGGTAGGGCTTGTCCCCTGGCCACGGACAGGAGCATGATGTGGGAGTGTTTGGCACCCAGGTCCTCTGTTCCTGGAGGGAGGGGCTGGCGGACGCAATTTGGAGCTGGCTTCAATTTCTCAGTGGTCTCTCCACGGCACTCACCGCAGGACCTTTCTTCCCAGGTTATTTTCCCTGCAGGCCCCAGTGCCACCCAAGATTTTCCTGTCCATGGTGTATAAGCTTGAGGGGCCCACAGACGTCACGGTTGCTTTAGAGCTAACCACAGGGGATGCCAGCAGCTGCCACATCGGTGGCATCTCAGTGTTGAACGGTGAGGCAGTGGGGCCCAGGCCTGCCTCTGCCCGGCGGGGAGAGCTCAAGGCAGAGAAGTGTGGAGAGGCTCCTGGGGTGTGGGGAGGAGCTGGTGTGGACAGTGGAGGGTAAATCCCGCCTTTGCTGGAGTCAGGGCAGCTTGTGGTTGAGGCCTGGACAGGGAGGATTCACTTCTCAGCCACACCCTCTGCCCTGTGGCCTCGTCGGCAGCTGAGGCTCCTGTGCAGGGTGGACATGGGCCCCTTCCAGAGACCTGAGCTGCACACAGGCTTGCTGACCATGGCGAGGAGAGGGTCAAGTAAACGGGGTGGGGGAGACAGCAGGCTGGAAGATGCCGGGATGAGTGAGAGCGTGGCTGAGCCCAGACATGCATTTCATTCACCGAGCTCCTCTGGAGCCCTTCCTGGTGGCTTCTCCGGACCTGTGAGCCTCTGGCCTAACCGGGCGGTCTTCTCTGCACTCCTGGGGCTCCCTTGGCGGTCCTTCTCAATGCCTTTTCCTTTGAGATTCTCCCTTTGCAAGTCCCATGTCTTTCTCCAGCAGAAACAAGCTCAAGACACAGCCTCCGACCCCTCCGGGTGCCCCCTACGAAGCTGGCCAGATGGGTGGGCCGCTGCGGCCGGCAGCTGAGCAGGGGCTGGGTCCAGCAGTAAGTCCCTCTCCTTCCTCACGTCCCTCACCCCACTCAAGTCTCTGTTGGGAAACCCCAGAGCTGGAGGGATGGAGGGGCCCTGGGCTGGTCTTCAGGTTTTGGGCAGCTCTGAGACGGAAGCCCAGGACAGCTGCTGGGAGCCCTGCGGTCGGCCTAGGGTCCCCACCGACCCTGGGACGGATCTCCCTTCTGCTGTGGCTTGGGGCCTCTGGACGGCTCACCCTGGAGCCGCTGGGCTGAACCCGGCCTGTGATCAGCCCTTTCGCCCGCAGCTGCTACGAGGTGAGCCTGCGTGGGTGCCTGCTGCTAGACCTCCTCGTGTGCTTCTCACGGCCGCCAGGTAGTCGGGAGGAGGAGAGCTTCACCTGTCGGCTTGGAGAGATCCAGGTAATGCTTCCCAGAGGGGCTCAGGCTGGGCTGGCCGTTTGTCCAGCTAGAGTGGGGGTGGAGGCTACCCCAGGCCGCTCCCTTCTCAGGTTCCGTAGGGAACTGGGGTGGAGGAGTCAGGGAGGGGAAATGTGTGGGTGGGGGCGCCCTCTCCCTGCCCCTGGGCGTCCGACCGTGCTGAGCCTTCTCTCCTGCCAGGTGGTGGACGCTGCCAGCCTGCTGGCCCCTCTGCCCCAGGTGGAGACTGTCACCATCTCTCAGGTCCGCTGGCAGCCGGCCGCCTCTGAGCGGGAGGGGCCCCCTTCTCTGCTCCAGCTCAGCTGCACCCTGCACTGGTCCTTCCTCCTCTCACAAGTCCGTTGCTTCCGAATCCACTACTGGGGAGGGACGAGTGATGACTCTCCGGGCAGGGAGCTGCCGAGGCCAGAGATGCCCACGTTCCTGGGGTTGGCTTTTGCCACCCAGTACCGGATAGTGGACCTGCTGGTGGAAGCCGCCGGGCCCGGTCAGGACCGTCGCGTGGAGTTTCTGGTGGAGCCTGTCCCGAAGGAAGGGTTCCGGGTACCTCAGGCCGAGTGGGGCAGGGCGGCTCTGCTTTATTCAGGCCCCGCATGAGTGGATGCTAAAGCCGGGTGGTCTCCTGGCCTCCGGCTGAGGCCTCTTCCCGGCTCTCTGCTCCTGGCCTGCGCTGGACCTGCTACGTGCCGGCAGTGGCGGCGAGACCCCGGTCCCGGGGCTGGGGGAGGACCCCTGGCTGAATGCTGTGGATTTCTGGCCGGGGGCGGTGGGAACAGGAAACCAGGCCGTGGGATCGCAGCGTTGGTTACTGCGAGGCGAGTGGCCCTCTGTTTCTGCCTTGTCTCTCCCCACGGTACATGGTTCCCAGGTGAAAATGAAAGGAGGGGAAGAAGTTGAGAAAATTCTATAAAGAGTATTTCCTAATAGGCTGCAAGATGCTAATGCTGAGAATGACATTTTCTTTCCTGCAGATTAAACTATTAGAAAGGCTCTTAGATTGTGGCAGGTAGGCTTTGGAGCAGGCCCCAGGACGTTTCCGAGGATGCGGACGAGCTACAGCAGCTCCTGGGGTGGGGCTGCCTGCGGGATGGCGGGAGAGGATGCCCCGGAGAACCCTCCTCGTGGTGGGAAAGGCCCTTTTCCCTGAGGATTGGGCATTCCGGGCCAGCCGGCGCCGGCTTCGTGCCTCCACGTGGCCAGCCCCAGCTGCTGCGTGTTTTCCTGGTGTTGGCAATTTACCGCGCTGCTGCGTGTGAGGTCATCTCCGGAGCGTTTTCAGCAGCCCCTGGCTCTGCTACGCTTCTTCCGGGCTGTGGGCTGCAGGGAAGTGGCTCTGGGGCAGTCTGCACTGTGGCCCTGCCTCTGCCCAGCGAGAGGCTGTGGGCTCTGGACAAGCTGCCCTTCAGGCTCGGGTAGCGGGTCAGTCCAGGCAGGAAGCAGCACCTGCCCCCCACGCCAGCCCAGCCCCAGCCTGTGTGCAGGAGCTGCAGGACCCATGGGGGCTTTTCCAGCTACTCGGTTCCTTCACGTCCTCCCTTCTCAGCCTCGTCCAAGCACCGGGGAGACCTCCAGGCTTACCCCTTGAGCAGGAGTCAGCACAGGTGCGTGGGGGATTGAGGGAGGCAGGGTCTTCACCACAGGCCCCTTCTTCTGTCCTTCCTGCTCTCTCTTCTCGTCGCCTCCTCCCCTCTGCCCAGGCCTCTGCAGCTGCACAGCCCCTGCTACACCTGGGCTGCCTGGGAGGCTTCCTGGTGTGGTGTCTGGACCCCACGGCCTTGGGTCATACTGCGGCTGGTCTAGGTGGGGTCTGTTATGGTCCTTCCACGGTGTCAGTGGCCTGAAGTCCCTTGCTTTTGGGAGGTCTCTCACCCCCAGGCCACATAGGGCCAATGGTGGGGGTTCCCTTGGTGTTGGGCAGCGCTGAGGGCTGCTGGGATGCTCTGTGACCCCAGCTGGAGCCCACACCTAATCATTTCGCCCTGCAGTGAGGGAAGAGGCCACCAGGTGGCAGCACAGCCACACCCGTTCCCATGTCCGGAGGAGGGCAAGGCTGGGTGCTCAGCAGCCGCTCTGAGCCGGGGCTCCTTCCAGGGGCTGAAATCCACCTTTCTCCATCTTCCCTGCCTTCCTGGGTACTTGTGCCAAGTAGAGTCTCCTGGGATTAGGGGTTCTATGCTCTTGCCTAATTAGGAACATTCTTCCCTGTCTCACGTGAGTTTGCCAAGGATATGGGGCAGGAGGCGTCCTCTGCTGACCCCCCTGCAGCCTGGAGCCACCCCGGGGACTGTCCTGGGTGGAGGGCAGGTGAACACAAGCTGCTGCCGCGTGGAGCCGCTCACTCGACATTTTTCAGCTGTGACCATTCCCGGGAGCTCTTTAAGCCCTTCTCTCTCATTTGGAACTAGGGGGAACCAGGAAGGGGCTCCTGGCCCGTGTCCTCTGCAGCGAGGGTTGTGGGGGGCGCAGCATCCATGCCTTGCTGCTCGTCTTTCATGAAGTCTATTTTTTAAGTGCTGGCTCCCCCGAATATTTTATGCAGAGGAGGGAAAATTTATAGTGGCAATTATTTTCTCACAGTCTGGTGAGCAGGCAATTAGGAGGAAGGGGGCCTAGCAGAGCGTGGCGTGTGGCAGAATCGCACCGCCCCGGCTCCCCAGCCCCACCGCCATGCAGGGCTCGCGTGCGGGAAAATTAATATGCCAGCGTTTAGGCCTGTGCCCCTCTGCTGGGTGTAACTGCTCTGAAATAAATGGTCTGACATTGTGAAAAGTGCAGTCAAGTCCTGGTGTGGTAGAGCACAGGCAGCACCAGCCCAGCGCTGGATGCTGGCTCCCTGTACAGCCCTGGCTCCAGCCCCAGGCTTCTGAGCTCTGGGTTCAGGTTCTGCCACTTGCCTTCCCGTCCCCTCCTCAGCTGACCCTTTGCAGCTGTGCTCTAGCTCCTGGCCACCTTCCAGGAGGGGTGACAGGCTGGCGAAGTGGGTTTACCTTGAAGCAACATGGCTTCTCATGGTCCCCAGCTCGGGCTACACCAGGGGTGCAGAACTGGCTGAAGCACCAGCCACGTTTGCCTCTGTGCCATGTCCCCACCCTCCCAGCTCCGTGCTGTTTCTTGCATTGGGTTGACCAAGCACAGCTGTGTGGTCACCAGGTGTAACCCTTCTGCCTCCTGGGGTGCATTCTGCTCTGAGGTCACGCTGTGTCCAGCGCACACTGTAACCAGGAAAGAAGGGACCAGGGCTGGCCTCGACCTGAGTCCGAGAGGCAGGCCAGGCAGCACAGATCTGCCATGAGCTGCCACCCACCCAGCCCGTCCTGGGGCAGGATGCAGAGGACCAGCCTGGACTCTAGGATTGAGACTGGAGTCTTTTGCCTAGAAGGGCCTTCTGACGCCACTGCCACCTGGCTCCAGGCCAAGGCAGGGCTGCATCCCATCCTGGCCCCGATCCTGCAGCCTGGGCTGCTATGCCCTCCACCCACCATGCCCGGGAGCTGCCACAGCATACACAGTTGTCCTGGTTTGAAGAAAGAAATCTTTATTAATCATCTTAATAATACTGTTAGTTGGAATGGTCACACCTTGGAAGCATACAGAATGGTAAGAAAGGAAGCCCGGGGCTCGGCTGCAGTCCTGGGGATCTGAGTCAGGGGGTTGAGCTGCTGCAAGAAAAGGGTCCGGAACAGCAGAGGGGACGGGGGCTCTGTACAGAGGACAAAGCCAGAGGCAGGGCGTGGGGCTATGTACAACGGGAATAGAAAAGGAGAATTCCATTTCGATAGCTTCAGTAGCTGATGCTGAATAGAAAGTGAGGTGTATTTTTAAATTTTTGACGTTTCATGAGACAGTGGAGTCACGTCGGGAGCCTGTATTTTTTGCTGCTTCCCTACTTCTGTGCTCCCTGCCTTGCCAGGAGCTCCTCCCTGCCACCTGCTCTGCTCCTCCCACCAGGTGAGCTTGGCTGCTCCTGCCACCTGGACACCTGCCTTGGGAGCAGCGAAGGGGCCGGCCCAGGCTTCCCCATCCCTTGCCCTTCCCATGGGCCTCTGCTCTGGCTGTGCCGGTCCAGGCCCACAGCCACTGAGACTCCCAACCTTGAGGCGCAGCTGGGCACTGGCCCGTCCCTGGCCGCCCACAGTGGACTGGGCTCGCAGGGGAGCGGCAGGGAGGGCTGGGTCCCAGCAGGCAGCACGAGGTCAGCCTTGGTGTGCACAGGCCCCAGGCCACCTCCAGAAAGGGAGAGGTGGCCAGGAAGAGCAAGTCCTTGGCCTCAGGGCCCACTTGGCCACACTCGGAGGTGTGAGGAGTGGCTCCTGGCTGGCTGGACTTCCTTCATCCTCCCATGGAGCGCCTGAGTCCTGGAGCCACATCAGCCCTTCCTGTCAGGAGTTGGTCCCGGGGCTACTGTTGGACGGCTTCCTCGCCAGGCTGGGGGCACGGGCGGGACTGCCGGGCATGGGGGAGGTGGGACGCAGGGGACACGACACGAGGGTGATGGGGCCCAGTGGAGCCCCTGGGATGAAAGCTGCCCGCACCCCCCAGCCCCGCCGGCCCCCCGGCACAGCTGGCCACAAAGATCAAGTCTTGCTAGCAGCACCTCCCTGCTCAGGCCCCGGGCCTGCTCTGCCGCCGCTGGGCTCCACACCGCCTTGGGAGTTGGGGGCTGGGAAAGGAAGACTGGATGGAAAACAGAGCCCCCCACGGGCCCCGCAAGGGAGGCCCCTTCCCCTCCAACTCCCCCACTGCCTGAGATGGAGGGGCGTGTTCCCACTGCGCTGCCAGCCAGGACGCGGTGGGGCCGTCCAGTCCCGGGGCCGCTCCTCAGCGCCCCTGCCGGCGTGCTCCCTCGGTGCGGGCGTGTGGCCAGGACGCGGGACTTGGACTTGGTTGGATGCCTCTTGGTTTGGTTGTTTTTTTTTTTTGTTGCTTGGATCTTAACATCTTTTTTTGTTTTTTTTGTTTTGTGATTTTTTTTGTTTTTTTGTTTTTGCCCTTCATGGTCCGAGAAGGAAACGGTGGAAGGTTTCACTACAACAGAAACAGAAAGGCAGGACTTGCAGCTTCCCAGGGGGAGGCGTGGCAGGTGTGAGGGCGACAGGACGGCGTGGCATGGGGCCCCTGGCCTAGAGTCCTGGCGCCGCCACACCTGCCCCCCAGCTTCCAGGACCCTGATCTTCCAGGGGTGAGTGTGGGTGGACACCAGGTTGAGGCCCAGGCAGCCCGGGATGGGAAGAGACACCTGGGGCCATGAGGAGGAGACAGAGCTGAGCGGGGCAGAGTGAGTGGAGAGGCTGGGCCAACACAGGCCTCGAGGTGGCCTGGATGAGATAGCAGAAGGTGATGCTCTGGCCACGGGAGGTGGGGGAGCCAGGCCCCCCACGGCGAGGGCCTGGTGGGTGGCAGGACTTCAGCCCTGGCTGGTGGGGAACCCACACCCTCCAGCTGGCCTTCTAGCCCCAGGAGCCCAGCCATGGCACACTCAGAACCTGAGGCTACTTTTCCCTGTCATGGGGGTACAGATGTGTGTGCCCCAGGCCAGCCCCAGGAAAGGACTGTGCCTGTCTTGGCTGGCTTTTCCCAGGCAGGCCAGCAGCTACCCAGGGCTCTGCTCAACTGAGGTCCCAGCCAGCGTCTCCCCAGAAGCGCCATGCGCCGGGCTGGCCAGTCCCAGGGCTGAGGAAGGAGCGGCCCGCAGGCCACAGTGCCCTGCCCGCAGTCTCCCTAATGCAGGGAGGGGGCTGACTGGCCTGTGCTCAGGGGAGGGCCTGAGGAAGGGTGCATTCTGCCCCTCATCGGCTCGCCTGCTGAGGACCCCTCCTTCCAGAATATACCCCAATAAAGACATTTCGGAGCTTGGGGACAGGGAAAGTAGGCTGTGCCTCCAGGACAACCTCCCTGCAGGGCTGGCCTGGCCTTGGCCCTGCGGTGCTAAGGGGCGCCTTGAGGGGGGGGCCAGGACACGCCTTTCCACATTTCCATTTTCTGCTGCGGCCGTGTTAAGGAGTCGCGGAGACTGGCGTGACCACGGCAGTTTGCACACTGCGCGACGTGCTTGTGACTAGTCGGCAAGATATATCATCAATAAAATTTAATTAAAAATATTAATTTCAGCTGAATGGGGCAAGGAGGGGCATGGCTACTCCTGTGGTTGGCTGGGTGAAAGCCCGCGGGAGCACCCTCAGGCCGGGGAGACCCACACTGGGTGCCCGGAGCCCCTCCCTCCCTACATCAGGGTGCTGGATACTAGGGCCGTGGCACGGGGCTGGCGGGGTGGCTTTGGGGGAGGCCCTGCCGGGCGTTTCTGTCGTTCTGTGCAGCCCAGGAGGCCAGGAAACGTGGCTCTTGCCCTCATAGGGCACTACCGCTACTCCCGGGTCGGGGGCTGCCTGGTCTCCTGGCCCAGCCTGGACCCCACGGTGTGCATACCGTACCTGCAATGGCTCGGGTAGTACAACATCAACAAAGTCAAAATAGGAAATCACAGTTTCAGACATACAGGAAAAACCAGGGTCAAAGACACACACACCAGCACAGGTGGGGTGGGGAGACCAACTGGCTGGAGAGAAAAATCTATGGATTTTAGCGTCGCAGAGGGCCAGCCGTGCGTGGCGCTGACCGGGAGGGGTGCACTGTCTTCTGGTGGCTGTGCCTGGTTTTGGGCTGTTGGGTTTGGTGTGTAATAGACAGTCAGTGTGAATGCTGTTAGGGGCTGGGTCTCTTGCTAGTAGGGGGTGAAGCGGCTGTACCCTCCTCGGCAGAGGCTAGCCTGCAACATCAAAGATGAAAAACAGCCAATCAGTACCGTCTTTTGGAAGAGGGGAAAAAGCAAAAAGAAAAAAAAATAAGGAAAAACAAAAAGAGAAATAGCTAAGTCTCGTTTCCTTTCCCTCTGTATTCCTTGGGGAGAAGAAGTTGGGCTGTCATGACAACAGGAGGGGCGAGGACCTGCCTCTGACTTGGTGGTCTCGGGCCACTGTAGGGGGCGCTCTGGGGTCATGGCCAACAGCGCTTCTGGGTCACTTCTCTGGGCTCAGGCCTGGCCTCTCACTGTCCTTATGCAGAGGGGGTCCCAGCTCGGGCCCCACCTCCTTGCACCCCAGCAGGGCGACACAGGGCATCTTCAGGGCACTGAGGGACCTCCTGGCGGGTTCCTGGGCCTTGGCTGAAGAGCCTGGGGCCACTGAAGCCAGCTACACTGGGAGAGGCAAGTCTGCTGGGCACAGCACTAGAGACTTGCTCCCTGGGGGGGGTCTCTGGGTCCTCCTGGGCCCACCTGGAGCCCAGCCCTGTCCTGCTGGGGAGAGCGGGTCCTGGATGCTCCAGCTCTCCCATGTCCTGGGCTGCCCCCAGTCAGGGAGGGCTCTGAAGGGGCCTCCCACCCTCCTACCACCCAGTTTTGTCAGAAAAGGGATGAACACGGCAAGTGCAAGAGAAGAAAAATTGGGGAAAAATAGAAAATCTTAAAAAGTGAAAACACAAGAGGAAACCCTCCGTGCATTCATGAAAGCTTTTAGCTTGCAGCTGCGCGGAGGGCCCAAGAGCCAGGGTATGGCACCTCCATCCGGGTGGGGCCATGCCAGATCTGCCCCTGTGGCTGCCCGCAGCCACCACAGGCTGCTGGGGGTGTCTGAGGCTCATTAAAAATTGAAAAGGCAAGTCAAAAATTGGAGGGAGTCATCAAAACCAAGGAAGATGGGAAAAATCCATGGTGCCTCTGAACCTCCTCCCTCCTTACTCCCCCAAGATGTTTTCATCTTTGATGCTGGATGCCAAGCTAGCTAAAACCCACGTTCACACCCCGGGGCTGGGGCCAGTGGGCACAGGAGGCAGGTGTCTGCTGGAAGCAGCTCTGGGTGCAGAGTGAGCTGGGCTGCACGTGTCGACAGCTGGCCACACACACACACACACGCACACACACAGACACGCCACGCCGCGCACCTCCCCGCCCCGCCCCTTCTACCCCACAGCCTGAGGGAGGAGACTGGGGCAGAGCAGGCACTGTTTCCCCAGGACCCCAGGACCCCCCAGGAAGCCAGGAGCCAGGGCCTGGTGAGAAGCAACCGGTAGCCCACGCTCCCCTCCCGGATGTGAGGGGGCTGCAGCAGTGCGAGTGGGCCATGGGGATGTGGCGTGGGCAGAAACAGCCCTGGGGCCTTGGGAGCCTCTGCTGGGAAGGAGAGGTGGCCCTGGTTTGGTTTCTTAGGTTTTCCTGGTGGAAATGGGAATAGAGGGGCCTCAACAGGACTTTATCATAGTGATGGAGCTCAGGGAAACGGATCGGGCACACTGGGGTGCTCCCCAGAGGACCAAATGGTACGGTGGGCTGACCAGCCATTCAGCCTGCTTCCCCGCAACTGAGAGAGGGCGTGAGGGGCTGGCCCTCCCCTCATCCTAACTCACATCCAGGACGTGGGCCTTCCAAAGTCTCCGGGACCAAGGCACTGGTCAGAGGGCTCGGCCTCTCCCCCAAGGGCCTCGCCACCCATCCCCAGCTGTTAGGACTGGCACCCAGGGCCAGGCGCGGGCTCCTTACCATGGTTCCAATGCTGTAGGTTGCCGCGGGCCCGATGGTGTGATGGTACGGGTCGGCAGCTGCGTAGACTCTGCCGTAACTGGGGAAGAGGGTGGGGGAGGGGGCAGGTGAGGGGCGGCAAGGGCCTCTCACCTCCTCCCAGAGGCTACGTGGGCACCCTCCCCTCCTGTAGGGCCTACCCTTCCTTCTTGTTAGGAAGGAAGCTTCTGGAACACAACAGGCTGCCCTCTCAATATGCCCACAGTGTGCTGACCCTGACAGGAGGAGTGTGCTCCACTCAGTGCTACGTGGAGGGGGATGGCATCCTGATGGAGCTCGTCTGCAGGGAAAACAAACTTCCACCCCAAAAAGAACGGGTAGGTGCTGGGGAGGGTTTTAAGAAAAGAGAGGGAGGATCAATGGGGAGGGACCAGGGACACTGCCCCCAAGAACATGACACCGTGTCCCTCATGACTTTCAGCAGTTTGTGCAGGAACTCTCAGCTCCTTAGAGGGCAGGGCTGGGCCATGGTGCCCTGTACACCACACTTCAGGGAGTTGGAGCCGGGGCTGCCAGGAGGGAGGGGGTGCAAGCGGTCCCCAGACCAGAGCAGTGGAGCTCAGCTGCCAACAGGCCAGATGTCCAAGGAGAAAGAAAGGCACTAGGCTAGGCTGCCCCAGGAGGAAGCACTCAAGCGTCTGCCTCCAAGACAGAAAGCCCCTGTGGGCACGGGGCGGAGGGTGGGGACTGGGAATCAGAGATGCTGTCTCCACCTCGGGTTTCCACAGCCTCCCCATGTGGCAAGCAGGAAGTGACTGAACTCAGGGGCTCACTGGCTCAAGGGCCACACTCAGACCTGCTCCCCTGTCCCGACCCTGCTCCCACCAGGCCTGGAAGGGGGGGTTATGCCTCCTGCCTGTCTGGGCCCAGCCCCCGAGGAATCGGTGTCCGTCTTCTCCCCACCCTGCTCCAGAACAGCACCGGCCCTTGGCCTCACCTGTCGCTGTAGGCGGCTGCCGCTGCAGCGGGCTGAGCGTATCTGTAGGCTGCGTAGCCTCCCTGTAGGGTAAGTGGGAGGAAAGACAGCAGAAGGACTTAGTGGGGCTCCCCAGGGAAAGGCCGAGTGGGGAGACACATGGGGAGAGACAGACCCTGTGTGGGTGGGGCCCTGGGAGGGACTGCAAACTTTCCAGCCTCCTAGCCTTGGCTGGGTAAGGATTAGGTGATGCCTGGCCTGGGAACCTAGTTCTGGTCTAATGCAAGACCGAGGACTGCAGATGGCCAGGTGGCACAGTTTGGGGCGAGGCAGGTCTGCCTGTCCCCTCCTTTCATTCATTCATTCACAAACCTATCTGTGCACTCCACACACACTAGTGGGTACCCATGACTCATCTGGCTGGGTGCTAGGCCTTGGCAAAGAGGTGCCCACAGACCTGCCACCAGGCCAGTGAGGCCTGACTTGGATGCCGAGGGGCTAGGAGAATGCACAGTGACTCTGGATAGTGTCCTGGACACCAGGAAGGGTCAAAGGTAAAAGGCACAAGAGGACGTGAGCTCAGATGATGTCCTGGCCTCACATGAGCAGGTGACTGAATTGTGGGCAACTGCCCAGGACCGAAGGGTGGCTGGGTACATGGGGTGGGGTCGTCAGTGAGTCTGAGACAGAGGAAGCAGCAAGTGTGGCCCCATGAAGGGGGAGAGAGACCACAGGACCCCATCAAGGGGGGTAGGCCCCAGAGCACAGGCACCCAGGGGCCCTGCCTCCTGGCCCCTCTTGAAGCACGTCCTGTGGGTGCCTTAGGGGCTCTCACTGACCGCAGCTTGGTTATAGGGACGTGGCAGAGTCCCACTGCCCCCATTATATGAAGCCTTGCCCATGGGAAGACGCCTTCAGCTCACAGGGCTGCTCCCTTGATGGGCGCCGACAACCAGACTGTGCTGTGCTGGGATTCCTAGGGATGCCACACTCTGGGCAGACATGGTGCCCTTGCCCTCCTGGCTTTGGGGGGGATGGGATGGGAGGAGACACCGACTTCTCACTGAGACCCACAGAACACCTAATCCCACCCTCCCTCCCGGCGGGGCTGCACTTACATAAATCTCAGCACCATAAAATCCATCCTGATACACGACCCTGGAAGCAAACGGACAAGAAAGTGGTGGGAACGCTGGAGAGGTGGGGTAGGCCGGCTCCGGTGTCTGCTGAGGAGGGAGGGGGCACGGTGCCAGCCCCGCCCATGGGACTGGCATTTTAACAAGCGTTTGCTCCAGTGCCCTGTTTTGGTATAACAATAGAGTAACACCCTTGCTGATCAGCTCCTTTCTCCCACAAACCCCGGGGCCCATGGCCCACCCGACCCCAGGCAGCTGCACCCCCCACCCCTTTAGTGATGGAGGGCACCGGACCCCAGGGAATGGGAGCAGAGAGGGCTCAGAGAAGCCCCTCGCTGACCTCAAGGGTGGACAACACCCCCATTAAAGCAGACAAGGTTCTGGGGCTCTGAATGTCCCCCCTAAATGCCAGTGACCTCGGCGATGCCCGCCGGGGTGGGGATGGGAGTGGCGATAATGGAGGCAGCTGCAGGGCTGAGTTCTGGGGCTCCCACGACCTCCCAGGTCTGGAAAGGCTGCCTAGTCCCTCGCACTGCGCAGGGCCTCCCCATTTCCCTCCTCCCCGCCCTCCCACCCCTTCCTCCACGCCTCCCCCGGCCCAGGTACTCACGCTCCATAAGTCGGGATGGGGGGTGGGGGTGGCGCAGCCCGAAACGTATTATACACGGCCCGGCCCCGGCCCCGAAGATGTGCGCCCCGGTAGGCAACAGCTGTGCCGGTGGTGGGGTAGGGGAACCCCGTCACTGCAGGAAAGGGGGCCCGAGACACATGTGAGAGGCACAGCGGGGCCCACCTCTCCCCCCAACTCCGCTCCAAACCTCCGAACACCTAGCCCCCCACCCCTCCCCAAGCCCCGCCCCCGGAGCCCTACTCAGTCAACACGGCGGGAGGGCGGGGACGGCCCACCGGGCCCCGCCCCTCATGCCCCGCCCCCGGAGCTCCACGGGCCAAGTGGCTGGTCTCATCCCATCTCCGCCCCGCCCCAGCCTTTACCTGCATAGAATTCAGGCCCATAGACTGCGCCGACCACTGGATTTAGCTTCCAGCCTAAAACAAAAGCACAGAGACCTAGTCACTGCCTTCCCCGACCCTTTCCCCACCAAAACCTATGCCTGGGAACCCCAGCGACACCGGTGGAGCTCTTGGGAACACTCCCAGGGCGCCTCCCGCGCCGGGCCCCAGCCCACACTGCCCCAAGTGCTGGGTTCAGAACACCAGGGTCTGCTCCTTCCTGACTCTTCTGCCTGGGGCTCTGCTACGATTCTTCCCCAATTGTCCTCCTCAGCCTGCCCCTGAGCAACCCTCACCCTGGGCGTCATCCCCCGAAGCCTGGGGTACCCACCTCCCAGAAGAGAATTGGAGGGAAAGTGGAACTTATCTACCCGCCTGAGCACAGCTGGGATGAGGGTTTCTGGAGTCAGACTCGGCACCGCCCCACCATCCGAGCTGAAGGTGGCCAGAGGCTGCAGGAAAGGCACTTGGCCTCTGCCCATAACCTCGCCCCACTGCCTGCCAAAGGCCCCCCTCCGGCTCCCTCTTCCCAGTGCTGAGTCCCGCTCTCACTTTCCTCCCGTCCTCACCGTCCCCCAGAGCGGCCGTCTGGGAGGGTGGCCTGGGAGGTTGAGGAGGAAAAGGCATTTGGACTGGGGATGATAAGAAGGATGGGCTGCTTTTCCTCGACACTGTGTGTGAGCCACACAGACTGTCTGAAACTCGCTGGGTCCTCATGCCCTCCCCATTTTGCAGATGAAGGAACAGAGGCCTGGAGAGGCACAGCAACCTTCCGTCACCAGCTGGGGAGTGTCAGAGCCAGGGATCCTGGCCTGCAGTCCTCAGCCACACCCATGTTCCTGGCCATTCCATGGGTGCCAGGCTGTAATCGGCCTCCCAGCCTCTCCCTTCCTGCAGGTGGGCCAGTCTTCCTCTCCCCCGGGGGCCCAGGAGCAGGGCAAAGACCTGTTCCACCGGGAGGCCTCTGCAGGGGAAACCAGTTGTCTTGGAGTGGGCTCTGGCTCCAGGCATTCTGACAGGGTGGGCAGGAGGGTTTCTTGATGAGGCCCAGTCCCTCCCCCCTCCTCAGTGTACCCAGGTCTTCTCTCTACAGCATGCCCCGTGGGCCTGGCTCCTTGTCCCTTTGCAATGTGCGGGGAGGGACAGCAGGGATGAGAGCCCACTGGCCAGCTGGGGAGATACATCTGGAGATAGTGGCAACGGGCCCGGGCCACGTGTGAGCCCGACCCAGATTCTAACAACTCCACTGCAGGGCAGGCAGACCGGAGGCAGTGAGGACGGAGGGTCGGGGTTTGCTCCTCCCTCTGGCCAACTCTTCACCCCACCCTGCATCCCTGGCCCACCATCACACAACCTTGTATCTAGACATCATTGCTGGGACTTTGGAATCTTCCAAAAAGATAAATCCCAGGTTAGGAGGGAAGAAACTTTTTTTTGGGGGGGCGGGGGGCGGTTGTCTTGCTCTGTTGCTCAGGCTGGAGTGCAGTGGACAGTCACAGCTCACTGCAGCCTCGACATCCTGGGCGCAAGTGATCCTCGTACTTCAGCCTCTCGAGTAGCTTGGGCCAAAGGTGCCTGCCACCACACCCCCAGCTAATTTAAAAAACTATCTGTAGAGACAGGGTCTCCCTGTGTTGCTCAGGCTGGTCATGAAGTCCTGGGCTCAAGAGATCCTGCCCCCTTAACCTCCCAAAGTGCTGGGATTACAGGCGCGAGCCACTGCATCAGGCTGAAATAATTTTTTTTTTTTTCTGGGAAAACCTCCAGTCTCAAGAGCTGACTCTTTTTACTAGAAGGCCCATGATGGAAGAGTCCTGCAGACCCTGACCCCAAGCCCAGACTCCCCCAGGCTCCATCCAGTGGCTCTTCTGGTTCATACTGGGTGAGACTTGGAGGCTGTATGTGTGCTTCAGATGGCCCTGGGCACCTTCACCTGTTACTTCTGGCTTCCTGGATGCCTCCACCAGTTATTCTGGCTTCCTGGGTGCCCTCACCTGTCAATTCTGCCTCTCTGGGAGCCTCCACCTGTCTCTGCTGGCTCCATTTCACTGTCTGGAACCCCAGATGGCAGAGGCAGCCTGAAACTGCCTGGATGGCCTGTTTCTACTATAAATAGTTAACACCTGGGCAAACCTGGTGGGTTTGTTAAACCTCCACCCCCAGCTGGTGACTTCCAGAGTGTTGGGTAGTGTTGAAGCAAGTCACTTGGCATTCGCCCCCAGAGCCCATGTATTGGCTTCGGTGCCAACCTGCAGAGAACCCAGGGCCGTCCCACTGCAGTCCTCTGTGCCCAGGCTGATGAAGACATTGAGATGAAACGGCTCTTGCTGCAAAGGTGGGCAAAGGTTCCCCCCTCCCTCCATTCCCTGATGTTTCACTGGCGTGGGTTCTGTGCCCCTCAAGGGCCGCACAGTCCAAGGCCATTCAGGGATGGGTCCGTTCTGATTTCCGTGTTCCCCTGAATTCTCATTTCTGCCCAGACAGCGGTGAGTGTGGCTCTTGGGTGCAGAGTGGGCAGCTGGTTGATCACCTGGACCCTGTAAAAATGTCTACCGCTTTTACTTCCTGTGCCAAGTGCCAGATCACGGAAGAGTCACATCCAGAAAGCACTCGGGATGCCTGCAAAGCGGGAGGACTCCCAGATTTTTAAAAAGAATTGGAGATGTGTAAGTCCTCATAAAAGCAAGATATGAGGCCACGAGAATCAAGTCAAACTTGGGCCAGGCCAGAGTCCCGGCCCCACCCCAGCATCGGACACCAGGAGAAGAGCTGGGGAGAGAGGTGGCGGATCGGGCAGTCCTATCCAGGCTTCCGTGCTGGTTGTCACCTGACTCCACGTATGGCCGATCACATGGGGGGCCATGAGAGGCTGGGGGGTGATACCGTCTGAGAGTCCACGGCAACAGGGAGACCCATCCTGTCCAGGAGCAGCGCTGAGGCTTTTAAGGGCTCCGAGTGGGAAGCTGCTCCCTGGCAGGAATGAGCCGAGGCCCCCAACACACACCTGCTCCGCTCAAAGCAGGCCCCCTCGCCTGATGGAGTTAAGACTCGCAGTGGCCACCAGTGGTTCCCTCCGCTTCCAGAGCCAGCACTTAGCGTCGGCAGATCCATCTCCAAGGAAGACCGGCCACCTCTGTTTGCAGTGTGGTGCACACACACACGATACCTCAGTCTCCCCATGTTGTGGACAGCAGGGCTCAGCCTGGGGCCTCAGTGCCCCCGCCGTGCTTGAAAAGCCCCAGGAAGGCAGTTCCTGTAATCACATTCTACGAAATCTGAGCACCTCCCCCCAGGCCCTTGCTCATGGCACTTAGAGGTGTCATTTGTCATCCAGCAGCTCTGGGGGATGGTGTCACTATTTCTGTTTTGCAGATGAAGAGACTGGAACTCAGAGAGGTCTAGAAGCTCACCCAAGGCCCCTCGTGCCCCTGCTGCCCTCCGTGAGCCTGCTCACACCGGGAATTGGTACAGCAGGTCTCAGCACAGAAGCCTTCAAACTCAAGGCCCTGGGGGAAAGTCAGTCCTAACCCAGGAAGGCACTGCTGTCCCACTGTATCAGAAGCCTGCACGCGTGGCCTCTGGGGGCCAGGCACGCTTGGGAAAGCGAGACTCCAGCGACGGCTGATTGTACGGGGCCATGAGTGGGGTGGGTGGCCCCCAGCTCTCCTCCTGCCTCTTCTGCCCCACCCGCTTCTGACCGGGAGCAGAGCAGCAGCCCCAGGGCTGGGACACTGAGGATGGGGGCTGCCTAGGATCCAGAAGCCTCAGCTCTCCCAGGGCCTCTGCCCGACCAGTGACCCCGGCAGCCTGGTGGGGGTGCCTAGCCCCTTACCGTTGGTGTAGGGGTTCCCCGTCTTCTTGTTGGTCATGACTCGGGCCGTGGCATTATTGACCTGTCCGGAGAGGGAAGGAAAGAGAGAAAGAGGGACGATTAGCCTCCTGGAAGACCCACCAGCCACTCCTCCCCGCCCTGCCTCCCGCCCCGGCCTCCTCTCTCCACTGTGCTGCCCTCCGGGAGCCTCGGCCCCCACTGCTCCCAGCACGGGCTAAAGCCCCGCCTGGCCCAGGACCCCAGACCCAGGACTGCTGGCCTGTATTCTTCACATGACTGTTCCCATAAACCCAGCCCCAGACTCCCAGGCACCCCAGGACAGCTGGAGAAGCTCCCTGGTAGACTCTCCACAAAGTGTTCTCCAACCAGAACCAGCTAAGAGGCTGGACTCCAGGATGCCCCCTCCTCCCTGAGGCTGCCAAGGCCTAGCTAGGCATGGGCACCAAGATGCCCTCATACCCTTCCTGGATGATGCCCCCCTCCCCCGAGGCCAGAGTCCTCAATGTTGCAGAGCACAGAGCTCTCTGATGGGGCCCGTGTGCCCCTGGAGGACGAGGCTGACAGGGAGGGGCTCTGGGCACGAAGTTACCTATTTTCCACACATATGCCCGGGTGAGGCTGTCCAGGGGCAGCCTGGGATGGGGAGGATGAGGCGTGTGTGGAAGAGAGTCGAGAACAGCAGGGGTGATGGGCCCCAGGAAGGGGTCTGGGCTGTTCTACCTCCCCTGTGTCCTCAGTGTGAGCCCTGAGGGCATGGGGCTGCAGCCTGGCCAAGCCAGTGCCTTCGGAAGTCTGGAAACCTCCTCTCACGCCCTTCACCTCCTGCCTGAGGGCTCTGCCTTGGTGGCTCACCCCAGCCCTCCTCCAGCCACCCTTTGGCTGCCCTGCCTGTTGGGGGACCCAGCTCCAGACACCCAGGCCGCAGCAAGGGAACACAGCCCACTGGCACTCTGGGAAGCAGGGGACAGAGCGGGGTGGGTGTCAGGGAGGGACCCAGAGCTCCCTCTCCCTGCTCCTCCTTGGGGTCTGGTCTCTTCCTCTGCCCTGGCCATTGCCACTGCTGACTCTGCTTCTACCCAAACAAGGGGAGGAGTGGGGCCGAGGTGGGAGCAAACTGCAGGGCCCAGACTGGGCCGCGTGGGGACAGGTTGGGGACAGTCGCTGCTCCACGGTGAGCAGGGTCTGGGGATTAATGGCTCCTTGCCCGGGTGTACTGGCCATGGTCCTTGAAGCTGCCAAGCCCCCAATACAGGATTTCTGGGGCTCTTTCACTATCTGGTTGGGGACAGGGCCTCTCCTAGGAAAAGCAGGGGGGAGGGGACCTCAGGTGAGCCTGAAGGAGTGACAGGTGACAGGGCTTGGCCTGCAGCCAGTTACTCTGGCCTTAGTGCAACCCTTCCTCCCACCCCAGGGGACCCTGGCCAGGCTCTCTGAAGGGTGCGGCAGTGGCAGGGTTGGGTGAGCTGGGGGGCAGGTGGGCGATCTCAGGGCATCCCTGCCGCAGCACACTTATCTGAGCACCTCAATTTTCCGTCCCTCTACGATCGTCCCATTCAGCTTCTCCCGGGCTCGGTCAGCATCTGAGCTAGTTTCAAAAGTTACAAACCCAAAACCCTGTGAGCAGAGGAGAGGGAAGGACAGGCACGGAGAGGAGGATACAGGATGAGAAAGAGGACGAAGAACAGGAGTTGGGGGGGCAGGGGAGGGGGGGAGAGAGAGAAGGGGTTGAGTCAGGTGAGTTGAGGCGGAGACGCAGGCAGCCCAGAGGTCTGTCCTAGGGCCACCGGCAGGATGCCAGGAGGGGTATGGGCCCCAGGGGGGCAGCTGCTGGCCCAGCCTGAGCTGATCACCTGGCATCTCCACAGGGACAGGCCAAAGCCACCTGAGAGACGTCATACCTGACCACAGGCCAGGCCGGCCCCCTGAACCCCACCTTGGGGTGGGGGGCCCAGGCTGGGCTACAGGACCTGCAGGGGCAGCCCCCCCACCTCCACCCTCGGAGCCCAGGGCAGAGGGTCGTGCCTTCCTGGAAGGGCAGCAGGGCTTGTCTCCGCTGGACGCCCTCCCCCGCCTGCCCCCTCTGCAGCCCCTCCCTCAAGCCTCCAGGCCAGTGGTCCCCTGGGGTGAGCGTTCAGTGGGCTGGGGCCCGGGCCCAGGGGCCCAGGGCCCTGGGGTGCAGGCAAGAGGTCCTGGTGGCTCAGAAAGAAAAAGCGGCAGCGGCAGCAACAGCACAGACAGCTGGGGTGGGGGCGGGGCGGGTGGGGGTGGAAGAGCGGGGAATACAAGCACCCGTGTCGCTCAGGGGTCCTCGGGCGCGAAGCTCTCCAGGAAGGAAACGCACATTTCACACGTTAGCCTGGCGGGACCTACAGCCGGCGCTGTAAGGCGGCAGCTCCGTGCGGCACCCACCTTGGAGCCCCGCTCGTTAAAAATGATCTCCACGTCTAAAATTTTTCCGAATTGCTGCAGAGACAGAGACAAAGAGGGAGTGGGCAGACAGGAAAGTGCGGGTTAAGACCGCTGGCCCGGCCGCCCGCTCCACTCCTGAGACGCTGGTCCCTGTGCTCTGCCCTGGGCTCCCAGACTGGGAAAGGAGCCCTGGGACCCCTCCCACCTCTGGCCATGGAGCAGCTGGGACTTGGCCACTTGGAGAGGGCGATGGTGGGGATAGGGTGCCCAAGGCATCACCAAGAGGGTCCCTGGTGTGGTGTGGGGTTAGGGACAGCTCTCCCAGCCTCTCCTGGAGGCCCGTGTCTCCCTTCTGCCTTGGGGAGCTTTTCCTGCCAGGACACTAACTCCAGCTGCCAGCTGGGGATGGGCACATCACTAGCGTCCCCTCCTCACCCTGCTAGGACTTGACCACTTGGAAAGGGTTACAGTGGAGACAGGGTACCCAAGGCATGACCACCACCCCTAATTCACACTAAAGGGTAAAGGTCTGCTCTGAGACCCTTCTCCAAAGGATGGGGAACGGGGGAGGCAGAGGGGCATAAGTGCCCATTAGGGACAAAGTGCCACAGAGAAGAGAAAGTGCTGGGGTCAGGAAATGGAGATTGAGGCCACTGGAGGTCAGGACCCCTGGTTGGGAAATGGGACCCTCAGGCGTCCCTGAGATGTGGAGAAGGCTGGGCAGGGGGAACATGGGGGGAGGGTGTGAGGGAAAGAGGGACGCGGAGGGTGTTCTGCCCAAGCCCCCAGGACCCTGCACAGCCTGTCGTGGGGCTGTGCTGGAGTGGGGTGCTGAGCAACAGTGACCTGAACCCAGGCCCGGCCTGTGCAGGACGCTCAGGCCAGCTGGGCCATGACGCTCCAGTTGCCTTCTTCCCTCCCATTGTTGGCCACGGTCCCCATGGGGCAGCCTGGTCTCTCACTGGTATGTGAACGGCCCCAAACAACAGTTCTGAGGTCCCTAGGGCCCATCCTGAAGCCTGCAGTGCAGGCAACTGATGGGGGTTTCCTAGTCACCTCCACACAGGCGTGGAGGCGGGGGGTGCAGCAAGCCCCAGTGGGGCCAGACAACAATGAAATCTCAACTCTGCCAGGTGCTGAAAAGAAGGGGACAGTACCCCCCGTTCTGCAGAGAGCCAGGAAGCTGATGGGGGACAGTGTCCCCATCCCGCAGGGACCTAGGGAGTCGATGGCAGATGGTGCCCCTGTCCTGCAGGGACCCATGGAGCCGACGGGATGCTGCCCCTGTCCTGCAAGGACTGAGTGTATGTAAACAGGTCCCCTGCAGGGGGCATCCAGCCAGAGCTCCAAAATGCCATCCTTTGAGGGCAGCCAGCCAGAGCTCCAAAATGTCAGCTGCTATTAAGGGGCAGTCCCAGGCCCAGAGAACTCTGGCCGCTCGCTCAGGACCCAGGGTCAAGAAGGGACACAGTCCTTGCCATCTGATGATGCTAAGTCATGCCAGCCCTCCAGTAAGTCTGAACTCCAAATCCAACCAGGCTGGGATCCTGAGACAGGGAGTGGACTTCTGGGGGTCACGTCAGGGGGTAGGTGGAGGGGAACCTCTCCACCCTGGGGCTGCCAGAGGTGCCTCCAGTCTGCATGGCAAATCCCAGCTGGGTCAGGGTGGCAGGAGGAGAGAGGCTGGGATTCCGGAGCCAGAGGCTGTCTACCTGCACGGCAGAGGTGGGGCGGGCACCGCGGCAGGCAGGGGGAAGAGGAGTTTGGAGGGAGGGAAGAAATGTGGCTGGGCTGCGTGGTCCTCTGTGGCCAGGGCAGGCCTGGGAGCCCGGCTGAGCCGCCCAGCTGCTGCTGCTCCCCCGCCACTCAGCAGCCCCAGCCCCCGCAGGCACCAACACCTGCTAGGCGCATTCAAGTCCAGTAACAATCAAGTGACCAGGACCCAGGGGCAGCCCTGCACGTTCTCAGTGACCCCACCACCGGGGCTGAAGGCCACAGTGCAAAACCCGGAACAGGCCCACGGAGTGCAGGACGGGCTTCAATTCCCATCGACCGTGCATCCGGTTCCAAGTTCCCCAACCGGGGGCCCGGGGGACACAGGCCCAGAGAGGTTGACTGCCCGGCCCCAAGGCACACAGGAGAGGCCAGGGCTGGGGCTGCTGCTCTGTGGGAGGCCGAGGTGCCCCTCCAGGTACCCTCTTGTGAGGAGACAGGAGCCAGAATGTGGGAATAGGGTGGTCATAACCAAAGTGGCTGCGAGGCCCCAAGGCACTCTAGGAAACCCCTGAGATCAGGTGGTCTGGGGACCATGGGTAAATTTCTAGCTGGGAGCAGGAGGAGTGGGATTTGCAGGGCAGCCACAACAGATCCGCCTACTCCTCAGCTCGAGGCCTTCCTCTTCCCCGCCACCCTCCCAGCAGGTTCAGGTCAGGGCGGGGCTGGGCCCAGGAGGGAGGGAATCCTGGGGCCCTGGAGGCTCCCAGTGCAGTGGGAGGCAGGGAACCCGGAGGAGCAGGTGTGGGCAGGAAGGCAGGGCCTGTGGGTGCCACCCCGGAGCTGGGGCAGGTGTGGAGGGCAGGATGGGCAGGGCCACGCACACTCACCCCGAACATTTGCCGCAAGTCGGGGTCCCTGAACCGGAAGGGGATGTTGGAGACGTGTAGCCGCTTGGGCTGCTGCTTCTCTGTAGGGTCGGAGGGGTGGAGCGGCTGGCTGTCCGTCTGTGCCGCCTCGTCTGTCTGCTGCAGGGAGAGGACTGGGCTGCGGAGGCTGCCTCTGCGTGCGGGGTTGCCCGTCCCCTCTGCTGAAGGGAGGGCAGGGTCTAAAGGCCAGATTCTCCCCCACCCTTCTGGGCCTCTCCCATCCCTGGGCTGGGATCCTTGGCAGAATCTGGGCAGACGGTTTCCATGAGATACAGCACAGGGGCACCTCACACGGAGAGGCCCCACCTCTAGGCCTTTGCCCAAACTGTGCAGGTGAGGCCGCCTCCCTCCCGCCATCCCAGTGCAAGGCCTCCTGGCCTGTTCTGCTCCCTGCCCCCACAGCCCAGCCCTGTCCACAAAGGCTGAACCTCCACGGTCTCTTAGCCCCACTGACATCTCAAGGCAGTTCTGGGAGCCCGAGGACCCCACTGGTTTTCAAGTCCTGATGATGAAGTGGTGAGCTGGAGACAGATGTCAGCCCGGCCCGAGGGTCCGCCTGTCCGAAGGTGCTGCCTCTTCGTGTCCCCCCATCCCCGCCATGCTCCTGCTTATTCCAGCCTGCTGCTGCCACTCAGAACCTTTGGGGTTCACCTCCAGAAGCCTCTCCCAAGGCAGAGGTGGCTGAGTCCAGTCCTTTACAGTTAGTCCCCATTGGGACCCAAACGATGGTGGGCAGATGGGCTCCCAAAGACTTGGGTCTCAGGAAACAAAAGCCATCCAGCCCTCAGCTCCCTGTGAGAAGGCAGGGGTGCCGCCCGAGGCAGCGCAGTGTGGCCTGTGTGAGGCTTTTCCTGCGTGGTCTTCTCCAGTGGGCTGACCACGAGCTCACGGCAAGCCTGGCCTTCAGTCTGGCTGAGTCTCGGCTGTATCCACAGAGCAGGAACTCCGGACGTGTGGCGGGTGCTTCATCAGCATCGGCCGGGTGGATGCACGGGTGACTCTCCGAGGTGGCCATTAGCTCATCACGACCTGGGTCCAGGCCCAAGGGGCGCTCCAGTCCAGTTCCATGGATGCAGCCAAGCCGCAGGTGCCAGCCTCGCAGACTGTTTCCCCGCTCAGCCCACTGGCAAGGTGGGTGGGTGGCACAGGAGCACCAGGGTGCAGGAGAGGCCCTCGGCGGCGACGGGCACAGGTGGTGGGTGCACACCCCAGATCCCACGGGGTGCCTTGGAGGGGCTCTCACTGTCCACACTTCCTCCAGCAATTTGAGCTCAGCTGCCCATGGGAACAGCAGGCTGACAGTGTACCTTTTATTGGCTTCCTTCGCCTTCTCGCCTCAATTCCACACTGCCCCTTATGGGTTTTGTGAGATCATCTCCCAAATACACCCTTTGTATTTGAATCCTTGGCTCTGGGCCTCCTGATACTCCCGGTGGAGAGCTGGAGGCCACACACAGAGAACCCCTCCTCAGAGGCCAACTGGCTTCTGGGACAGGACGCCAGCCATAGGTAGGAGGGTCTTGGCTCCAGCCATCTGGATCCTTTCTGGAGTGGCAGTAGAGGAGACTGGGGTCCCTGAGAGGCCCACACTGCAGTCAGTACAAATGGAAGGCTGGTGGCATGGTCTCCCATGTGGCCTGCGGAGCAGAGGCAGCCAGTCTGGGAGCAAGAGAAAAGCCAAGACGAGAGGCCCCAGAGAGCCATTCCCACGCATCTCCAGCCAGGCGAAGCACCTGGCAGCTGAAGCCACTTTCCGGAGGGCATCTGTCGCGGGCCACCAAAGGAGTGCTGAGTCAGGACGGTGAGCGGGGAGCCTGGGGTCACAGTGCCAGAGGCCTCGGCCCATGGCAGAGGAAATGGAGCCAGAGAGGCAGAGCTGTGCCAAGGTCACACTACAGCTAAGTGGCCAGAGCTTGGTCCCTCGACTCCTGTCTGAGTGGCTGTCCGGCTGGCGCCGCCCCCTGCACGGCCGCCCTGGTTGTCCTTTCTGGAAGGACAGGCTGCTCCCCTGCATTTCTGCATGTGGTCAGGAAGCCTCCGACCAGGCTCCAGGGCAGCAGGTGCCCCTAGGTGCCAAGAGGGGAAGTTACCGCTTCCTGGGCTGCGCAGGGAGGTGGAGGACACAGCCTCTGCCGTACTGCAGCTTCTTTCCTGGCAACGGCCCCCAGCGCGGGCAGTGGGGCGGGCTGGGAGCGGGGTCTCGACGACTGGAGCGTGTGTCCATGTCCCTGATGCACCTCTGTCCCCTGCGTTGAGAAGTGAGGATGCAGCACACACCCCATAGTGTGGGACGGCGACAACGTGGGAACTGCCGTCCTGGAGCTCACCTGGACGTGCGCTGCAGGACCTGTCTCAGCAGATGTGCCATGTGGTGTGCTGACCCAATTCCGATGGGCATGTGTCCTGAGCTCTGCGTGTTCCCAAGGCGTGAGGCATCTCCCTCAGGACCTCAAGAGGTGAGCAGTGGCCACGGCTCTCGGAGGGCACGAGCCCCCAGGCTTGGACAAGTTGGGCGGCTGCTCCTTGGGGTTCCCTGACATGTGCCACCCCATCAGTGGGGCCTGGGCTTTGGCATGGAGGCATCCGTGGTGGGCACAGTTGGCAGGGCCAGGAGGGTGGACGACAGGCCTCCAGAGACTCCTGGTCTGGCTGGTATCAGGTCTATCAGGTCCCCAGCAACACAGGGCAGCTGACTCTGGCTCCAAGGAGGTAGGCACGGGGTTCCTCCATCCGAGCCTAGGGAACTAGAGATGCCCCGCAGCCCAGTTTCCCAGTTCTGCTGCCATCCTCCTTGGTCCCAAGTTTTCTTGCAGAAAGCAAGCCTGTGCTAGACCTCCGGAAGGGCTGACCTCACCCCTGAGCCAAGACGAGACCGTCCCAACATCCGCCGATCTTTACAGAGGTTCTGAACCCCACCCTCCCGCCGGATAGGCGTGGGTCTTTCCTCCTCAGTGGACAGGGATGCACCCGTGCCCTCTGCTGCTCTTGGGTACAGGTGACTGAGTCATCCCAGATTCGGGAATCCAGCCTGGATAGGGGCACGCAGCTCTGCCCTCTGAGCAGCAGAAGGCGGTGGTCAGCACGCCAGGGTGGCCACGATGGCGGGAACCGGCCCTGCGCCCACCCAGGGGAGCTGGGGCATCCACCCCAAAGTCCTAAAGGGAAGCAGCTGAGGATGAGGCAGGAGGAATGGGGTGATGGGGTGGGAGTGGGAGGAGCCATGAGTGGGGCCAGGACACAGGTGAGGAAGAAGCTGTTCTATCCCTGCTCAGCCCTGGGCAGAGGCTAAGTGGGTTCCATGGCTGTGAAACTGTCGTGTGTGCAGGTAAGCCCTACGCGTGACTGCACATGGGCTGCCCTGGGCCGGGGGATGGGGGCCCTCCAACCGCTGACTGTAGCGGTCCAGCAGCCTCCACTGCCTTTCCAACTTTTTCAGAGGCTTTCTTTCCCCTACTTAAAAAGAGAGAGAGAAAAAAAAACAAACCATCTTTGCTTCTCATTCTCAAATGCAGGGAAAGAGGGAAGAACAGGACCGCCCTTCCCTCCTGATTGAGCTGCGGGTCCTGCTTCTGCATCTTTCCCCAGCTCTGTCTTGGCCCGGCCATTATGGACACCTCCCCAGCCCATTCAAGTTCAGGGTGGGGGGTCTAGATGCCACACAGCATCTCCCACTCTCCACATCCTCTGAGGAGCCTGCACCCACTTTCGCCTGGGACCCCCAAGCTTGGCCCAGAGACAGGCAAAGGGAATGAGCCCTGGGCAGGGTCTGGTGGACCTAGACAGACCCCGGACAGCAAGTGGGACCCGGCGGCTGTTGTTGGCACAGAACCAAGCTGTGCTGCTGCGACACAAGATGAACCGGTTTTTGGAAATCCCTTCCTCGACAGTGCCATCTCTCCTCGCTCCTCCAAAGACCTCCTGGGCACTCAGGCAAGGACCCGCCTTGGTGGGCCCCCGGTGGGCGGCCAGTCAGCCTTGGAGGACAGGTTCTCTGTGTGTGGTCTCAACCTGTCCACTGGGAGTGTCTGCCTCAGAGCCCGGCGGCACTGACTGTCGGCTCCCATGTGGCATTTGAAGAACACAGGATTCCAAGCCCCCTGCTGGCCTCTGCACTGTGGCGCGGGCAGCCGACTGACACCTCTTCCACTCCCACCTCCCAGCCTGGGTAGGGGCATCTCAGCTGAGCCTCACTGTGGTGTTGCTTTGGGGACCATCGCCTCTCTTCTGCCGCTCTCAGGCCAGTGGCCAGCCATGGCTACCCTTCACCCTTTCCATAAGCCGTGAGAGCCAAGAACACAGTGACCGAGGGCTGCAGCTCCTGGCGGAGGAGACAGCGCCTCGGCCAGACTATGAGGCCTGTAGTTATAGACGAGGTGGCCCAAATGGAAGATCAGGGCAAGTGCGGGAGTTTCTGAGGAGGCTCAGGCCCGACGGATGGCAGAGAGGACAGAGGCTCATCCTGGGGTCACCCGGCAGAGAGGCCTCCAGGGACCTGGCCGTAGGCATCTATGCCTGCAGTGAAGCCAGGGGTGCAGAGCCCAGATCCCCAGTGGGCAGTGGGGCAGGTGCTGGCCCCTCAGGCATCAGACCCTTGCCGCCCACGTGGGGTCCCCTCTGGCAGGTGGAGGAGCCCGTGTGGGCTCTGGAAAACACCAGTCTCATCCTGTCTCCCTCTCCGTGGCTGCCCCTCCACAGTGACCCTCCGTGCTTTGGCATTTTCTATCTGCATGCTAATCTCTCTCTCTCTCTTTTTTTCTCAGAGTTTTGCTCTGTCGCCCAGGCTGGAGTGCAGTGGCGTGATCTCGGCTCACTGCAACCTCCACCTCCTGGGTTCAAGTGATTCTCCTGCCTCGGCCTCCCGAGCAGCTGGGATTACAGGTGCCCGCCACCATGTCTGACTAATTTTTGTATTTTTGTAGATACTGGGTTCCACCATTTTGGCCAGTCTGGTCTGGAACTCCTGACCTCGTGGTCCACCTGTCTCTGTCTCCCAAAGTGCTGGGGTGACAGGCATGAGCCAATGCACCTGGCCTGTTAGCAAGCTGAAGGTCCCTTGAGCATAAGGACAGTGTGTGACCCCCAAGGGCCCACAGTGCTGGCACCTGCCTGACCCTGAGTGAATAAATAAATGCTCCAGACGGTGACCCCCGCTGAGGAACACAGACCTTGGCGGTGGCTCAAGGTAGTGAGATGGGGTCCCCCGGTCCTTCCGCAGCCCCTCATCGCACTCTGTACCCTGTGCTGCATTTGTCCAGAGAAGGCAGCTGACGTCGTGGTGAGAGTGAGAGAAACGGAGCGTGTGTGCAGGTGTGCGTGCCCCCCGTGGGTTCTTGTCACATGTCTCTTCCCATCACGGATGAGCAGAGACGCCCCTGCCCTACCAGGAAGGAGCCTCCGTATCTCTGGACGGCGAAAAGAGGTGTTTTGCTCAGAGGGGACGAGCCTTCCTGGGGAATGATGTAGCCGGAAAGCCACTGGAGGTGGTCGGGACCCACCCGAGGGCATCAAGACCACACAAATCAGCGCACGCTCTGCCTTCTGTGGGAAGTCTCGGTGGCGGTGAGGGGCCCCCAGGAGCCCCATGTTTCTCTCTGCAGGGTCAGCTGTGCTTCTGTGACTAGGAGTTGAGGGGTGCATCCCACCTGGGTGGTGGCAGTGTCGGGAAAGGCCCTGAGTTGGCTGAACACAGACTTCCCACCAATTCCCGGCTGGAAACCCTCCTGAGGGGAGGACGAGCAGGAAGAGGCCTCGTGGTTCCAGAAATTCCAGGGAAGTCTTTCCGGAGCTGGGGCCCAGCCTGTCTTTGGGGGTCCTGGGGTGGAGGAGACGGGGAGGTAGAGGCATGGGGACGGGCTGCAGGGGCCACTGTTCTCTCCCACTGACGCCATCAGCCCCAGGTCCTAGAACGGAACAGGCTGCCTGTGTGGGCCCCGGGCCTGGACAGCACCCTGCTGTCTAGGGGCCAGCTCTGCCACAGCTACCAGTGGGGCGGGTGATATGGGGGCCGGACAGGTGCTCCGAGCTCCCACTTTCCACTGGCCCTGGCCACGCCACCTGCCAGGGCAGCCCACGCTCACCAGCAGAAGGAAGTCCCCTTGGGGGAGAGGGCAGGAAGCCCTGGTGGCCTCTGGGCGGCGTCTGGGTCCAGGGAACGTCTGGGGGTTGCAAGCCCTGACCTGGTGCCAACCTGGGCAGCAGACTCTCGGGGGGGTTCCCTGGGTGGCACCTCAGGAATGGTGGGGAGGGAAGAGACCAGGGTACTTGGTGGTTGCACATGGGCCCTCGAGTGCTCCAGGAGCTCAAGGAGATACTCTGAACTAGGCAGGTCTGGACCAAAGCTCTGAACTCACCCCACTTCCTATCCCGAAGATCTAGACCCCAATACCAGGCTGCTTGGGGCAGGACCAAGGGGAGGCTCAAGTGAGCTGAAAGGGCCCTGCTAATGACCAGGGACAGGGCCTGGGGACACCTGAGCCAGCAGGGAGCATTCGGCCTTCAGTTGTGAGTGCTGGGCAGCCTCTGGGAGGAAGGAGCTCCTGGAATCTGGAACACCCTCTCCAGCTGCCTTCCAAGGTGGGAAGGCTCCGTGTGAACACACACTCCAAGGTGGGGAGCGCGCGGCCTTCGGGGCGGCCCAGGTCTTTGTTCTTCCTGGGGCACCACGCCGATGCTGAGACTTCTGCCGGCAGCCCCGCCCTGGGTGCAGGTCATGGAGAATGACTCTCTCCTCTGGGACTTTGGATGAAAGATCTGCAGATCACAACCACGAACCCTCTGCCAGACCTGAGAGACCCCAGCCTGAAGAAAGGAAGGTCCAGGCTCTCTGCCATCCCCTGGGCTCTGGGTGCTTCCCGCCTGGACACGCTTCCTGGGAGGCTCTGGAGGCTGCTGACTGGGTGGTGAGACTCCCATCCTCCTAGTCGGAGAGTTCTTCATCGGATGCAGCGTTCACCTTTTCAGCAGCTGCTGCTTACTCGGGGCTTCTCTCCATGGTCTGTGGACCCTCACGGGCAAGCCAGACCGAAGCCAGCCTCTGTTTCTGACTTTCCTGTCCTTGCATGGCAGGAACCAGGGGACAGGGCTGGGTCATTTCTTCTTTGTAGCCTCAGTGCCAGTTCAGTGCCAGGCACATACCAGGTACCCAGCAAATGTCTGCCGAGTGAAAGAAGACTTTATGTGTGTCCTGGGTAGGCCGTGTTTGGTGGCTCCAGTGTCCAGGAGGCATCTGGCCTCGGTTCTGTTGTTCAGTTAAAGCGCCTGGTCCACTCTGTGTTATCTGTGCATCTGACCCTCCTGCTTCTGGTTTTCTTCTGGGACGAACCCCTGAGGCTCACCATGAGAGACCCCCTCGTTTGTCTATAAGGTGGCTGTCAGAGGTCTGAGCAGATGAGCTGTGTCTACTGGAGTCAGTCAGAAAGAGATCCAGCCTGCTCTAGCGTGACTTGTTTACGGTGAACCCGGCTTAGCTCCCGGGATCATCTCTTTCTTTTCTAAGTACACACAAGGTGTGGGTTTGATGAATCAGAACCAGAGCAGCCGGGGAAGCATGACTTGGCCCCCACTTCTACCACCCCAGGGCCTGGCCTTTTCCATGTGTGTCCTGTGGCTGTAGGAACCCTGGGTATCAGGATGCCAGGGGGCACTGGAAAGGCTGATGGCCTCGGGGCAGATTCTGGCTGGGCGGGGCTCCAAGTAGGGAGGAAGGGCACCACCTGGGTGCCAGATGAGGGTCATGTCCAGCCCAGGAGGCGGCTGGCTGGGTGGGCTCTCTCCACAGAGGGCCTGGGTGACGCTGGAGGAAGCCCCTGCCCAGGCACGCACCAAGGGAAGGCTCCTATCTGCATCCACACAGCATGTTGGGAGCCAGGCTGGACTGCGGGAGGGCTGAGGCAGTTGGGAAGGGACCCCTATTGGGAGCCGCCAGGGCGGTGCCGCTCCTGGGCAGTGTAGAGAGCTCTGGCCTCCTGCCCAGCCCCGCCAGCTAGCACATCCAGTGCTGGGACAGGGCCAGCGGGGACAGTTGGATGAACCTGGAGCCCCAGAGCAGGGGCAGGGGAGGCACATGGAGATCTCAGTGGAGGGGACCAGAGAAAAGGAATAGACTGGTCGGGGCTCTGCAGGGTGGGTAGAGTCAGGGCCTAGTCTTTATACCCAGAGCCCACTCCAGGCCGGCGGCTTGGCCACTCCCTGCCGGCTCTCTTTGCTCTCAGGAAATGTGAGAAGTGAGGGCTCAGCACTTTTGCCTGGGAGTTGCATTACAACCACATAATTGAAGCTATCTGATTGGAGGCCAGCCAAGCAGGTAGATTACAAGCGATTAGAAATGATAGGAGGGCCTGCAACCCGAGACAGCTCAGAGGGCCCTGGGCCGCCTCCGCGGCTCTGCCTCTGCCCTCCGCCCGTCTCCTTCACTTTCTACTAACAGGTCTCTGGCAGTGAGGACACCTCCCAGCTGGGTGAGTGTTTGCTCGAAGCAGGGAAGCCAGGCCCAGGCGGCTGGAGGAGGGTGGCTGCCACCCCACCCCTCAGTGCCCGGCCGTCCCTCCAAATGCCTGCTCATCACAAAGCTCCTTGGTGCTGGGGTTGAGCAGGGGCTGGAAGTGCCTTTGCTGGGGGTAACTTCTGGCCCAGGAGCCCCATAAAAGGCTCATCCTCCACACACAGAGGCCCTGCCCAGGTCCCCCACCCATGTGGTATACCTCATGCCCTCCTGGGCCACCCTTCTGCTGGGTGGGCGCTCCTCCCTGAAGCTCCAGGGCTGGGCCTGGGGTCGTGGGGGCCCTTACCGGCACTGTCTGGGTCCCGGCGATGGGCTGTGTGCTGGCCTCGGAGCCTGGCTGCTCGGGGTGGGTCTGTGCTGGTGTGTACAGGGTCATGCCATGCTCTGAGGGGACCGGGGTCTGGCCGGAGTAGTCCTGCGTGGGGTGCGGCGGGGGCGGGGCATACTCGGCAGGGATGCCGTTCTGTGGCGGAGGGGGGTACTGGGCAGGGGGGTAGGGCTGGGCCATTGCTTCAGGCGGAGCCGTGGCGTCCTGATCGCTCTGTGGAAGGAGAGAGAGCAAGGCCTGGTTAGAATCTTGTCCCCTTCCCGGAGCCCCTGAGGATGGGGCCTTGTGGCTGAGCAGGGCTTCTCCAGCAGTGTTTTCAGCAGCCTTTCCCCGGCCCCTCCATGGGGGGCTCCCCGGCATGGGCACCAGCTCAGAGCAGGAGGGGGTGCCGCGCTGGGAGTGCCGGGGAGTCTGGCTCTGGAGTCAGATGCCGCTGGGTTTCAGCCCGTTGACTCACCCTTGTCAGACCTGGGTACAAGAACAACTGAAGGGTTTTTTTTTAAACTACCTGATTTTAAAAAAGTTAACCATTTTAACATAACTGTAGGCTCACGCAGCTGTAAGAAATAACAGAGTGATCTGTACAGCTTGTGCCCAGGGTCCTCACGGTAACATCCGTAAAACCACCACCAGCAGGATACTGACGTGGATTCGCACAACACACAGAACGTTCCACCAGCGCGAGGACTAATGCTCTTCCCCTCTTAGTGCCAACCTACCTGCTTCCCACCTCCTTAAGAATTTTAAGCCTTGGCAGGTGGATCACCTGAGGTCAGGAGTTCAAGACCAGCCTGGTCAACAGAGTGAAACCCCGTCTCTACTAAAAATACAAAAAGTAGCTGAACGTGGTGGTGGGCGCCTGTAATCCCAGCTACTCGGGAAGCAGAGGCAGGCGAATCACTTGAACCTGGGAGGCAGGGGTTGCCGTGAGCCAACATCGCGTTACTGCACTCCAGCCTGGGCAACAAGGGCGCAACTTCGTCTTCAAATGATTTTAAGCCTCGGTTTTGTCATTGGAAAGCAGGAGTGAGAGGGCACTGCCCAGCCCGCACCTGGATCCCTGGAAGTGACTGTGCGGAAGCTGAACTCGGCCTCCTGCTTCCCCTGCCAGTGATGTCCATGACAGTGAGGTGTGCTGGGGGGGGGGCAGGAAGGGTTCCAGTCTCTGTCTCAAGGATCTCTGAGGAGCTCTGGAAGATCTGTCTGTGCCCCCTCAAAGGCCTGCTGTCTCAAGCGGGGAAAACTGCTCCCGCAGCCACTCTCAGAGGCTCTTAGAAGCCCAGGCCCTTGGGCAGAACCCCAGAAGCAATGTAGGGCAGTGGCTGTCAAAGTGGAGGGCCTGGGCCCACAGCATCAGCAGCACCTGGGAGCTTTTTGGTGGGCAATGCAGATTCCAGGGCGCATCCCAGGCCTCCTCCAGCAATCTGCGTGCACTGAGAACCACTGACTCAGGGCCTGAGAAGCAGCCCTGGTGGGAAGACCTTATGACCCCAAGAGGAGGGCTGGGGTCTTTCACAGCCCCAGAGAGCAAGACGCAGGCGGAGGCGGCAGAGGGAAAGGGGCTCTGGCCTCCTCCACTGCAGACACAGCCTGGGGCCCAGGATCTCCTGAGCGGGAGAGGCACTCGCCCCCCAGGAGTCTGCGGTGAGGAGGCCTCGCTGCCTGGAAGGACACGTGCCGCCTCTGCCTGGAGCAGCCCACCTGTGTGTTAGGACCCCTGCTCAGATGTGGACGGGTCTGACACTCACAGCCGCCCCGGCAGGGACAGCCAGGAGTCCACACCCTTCTTGAAGGTGGGGTTTGCTGTGGGGAGGAGGAATGCCCAGCAGGGAAGTGGCTGCTCACCTCCTTCACCTGCGCCTCCACCCCATACTCCCATCGCCCGGGGCCACGTACACTTTGTTCACACCACACACTTTAGTGAGCACCTACCAGGTGTAGGCAGAGGCTGGGGGCTGCCCTCGCAGGGCGGTCTTTCTCCCGCTTCCCTCCACACCCACACATCCCCCTCTGCCTGGCTCCTGTGTTCTCAGCCTCCGGGCAGTGCCTCCCCCGACTAAGGAGGGGCCAGCCCCTCATGTGCCCATGCTCCCCGTACGGGTGGACCTCATGTGCCCATGCTCCCCGCACGGGTGGACCTGGCATGTCCACCTCTGTTCTGCCTCCCCCACTCCTGGCCTGTCCTCTGCATCCTTCATTCAGTTCCTACAGATCCACCCAACAACTGTTGATTGGGTACCTGGGGTACGCCAGGCCCATGCCAAGGAAGGGGCTGTGTTGGCAGCAACCCCGACAGCCCCTGCTCCCTGCTGGTGGGGCTTGCAGTCCAGCGGGAACAGAAAGCTTCAGGAAACAATGGCCCAGATGCCAAACCATTGTTACAGCACTGGGGGCTGTAAGGGGCCTGGCTGCACCAGGGAGGTGGCCCCAAGGGATGGTCCCAGACTGGGTGTTCTGCTTCAGACCCGGCCACCCCTCCTTCTATTTAGAGGCCCCAAACCCTCTGCCCAGGGGCCGAGCAACCTAGGGTGGGTGTGGCCAGCTGGAAGGCTGGAGCCTGGGCAACCCAGCTGTGCCCTGCTCCCTGAAGCCTCCAGGGCCGGCCGTCCCTGGGCTCTGCAGCGGGGGCCGTCTCGGTGCTCGTCACCCTGCGACAGACTCGCTGAGTGGGAACCTAAGGAGCAGAAATGCTGTCCTCCTCCCATCCCCACCCCTCCGCAAAGCCAGCTTGTTCCTTCCCTCTCTCTGCTGACTCTGAAACTGGGGCGACATTCAAGCTCCTGAGCCACGGGAGGGAAGCACACACGTGTGCGCGCATACACACTCGCGGGAGGTTCCCGGCTCATTGCTCCAAAATAGCTGGCGAGGCCCCATCGTCCACTGTTAGCAAACGTGTTGGTGACGAGTCCAGTGGGAAGGGGTGGATCCATGAGAGAGGAGGAGAGGTAAGGGGAGTCGGGGCACCCAGGAGGGGTGGAGAATATCTAGCACCCGGGATGGCCAGAGGCAAAATCAGGAAAACAGGAGCAAGAGAGTGAAGAGAAAGTGGAAGGCGCAGCGTGAGGGCCCTGCAGACATGGGGGAGATGAATTTGCTGATAAATATTTGATTAGAACCTTCGCCAACTTGCACCATCTTCCCAGCCACCCCCCACTCCTCCACCTCCTCTAAGGCCTGAGAAAGAGTGGGCTCCTGGTCAGGCGCAGTGGCTCATGCCTGTAATCCCAGCACTTTGGGAGGCTGAGGTGGGAGGACTGCTTGAGCCCAGGAGTTTGAGACCACCCTGGGCAACACAGTGAAACCCTCTCCACAAAAAATTAAAAAAAAATTAGCCAGGCATGGTGGTACATGCCTGTAGTCCCAGTTATGTGGGAGGCTGAGGCAGGAGAATTCCTTGAACCTGGAGGTTGAGGCTGCAGTGAACCAAGATCACACCACTGTGGTCCAGCCAGGGTGACAGAGCACGACCCTATCTCAAAAAAAGAAAAAAAAAAAAAGGGCAGCTCCTGTCCCGTCTGCTTCCTTCTCACCCTACCTCCAACCCTCTGCAGGGCTCTCATCTCTGTCATTCAACTTGGGGCTGAATGACAGCTGCCAATCACTCTCACTTCAGGTTCTGCAGGGCTGGAGCCTAGAGCCCTAACAAGTGACAGGGGAACCTGCCAACATAAAGGTGGGGGCTCTGGCAGTAGGTGCCAGATCTGAGGGCGTCTGTGGTGGGCAAGAGGTCCCTAGGAGATGGGGACATTTTAGGGACATTTGTGACACTAGAATAAAAGCAGCATATTTGAGCCCACCGTGCTCCCTGCTTTTATAGACACTCACTCATTGAGTGGACACTTCCCCCTTTCCCAGCTAATAAAACCGAGGTACAGAGACAAAGTGAATTGCCAGGCTAGTACGGGAGGACCCCAGAGAGCAGCACCGGCAGCCGGGATCCCAAACCCACCGTCTGCAGCTCCACATGGAATTGTAGCCCTGCCCAGGGGGGTTTGCAAGGGAGAGGTGGTTTCACAGCCAAGCATCGGGGTCTAGACCCTGCAATGCACGGGGATGGGCTTCAATGTCCCCTCTTAGCCACCAGGTGGTCCTGGTGACTGTCTGTCTTCTCTGCACAGGTTTCTCCATCTGCAAACGGTCACCATGGAGCCTGGGCAGAGGAAATGCAGAACGAAAGCCTAAGACCCCTCAGGGGGTCTTAGGGTGACCAGCAACACCCCTGCCCTGTGTGTCCTCCACACCTGTGCTGGGGTGGCTGTGGTCCTGCAAGCGGCTTTCAGAACTGGCTACACATCCCAGTCACCTAGAGAAGTGTCCACACCTGGGCCACGCTCCTGAACAACAGAGGCTGCTTACAACCAATGTTTCCCAGGAGACTCTGACATGCAGCCCTGGTGGAGAGCCCCAGACCAGAAAAGCAAAGTGTATCAGGCCCATCCTGAGAGGGCGCGTGAATGCCCAGCACACGGAAGACGTGCAGTCAGGATCTGTCCCATTGCTTCTCTTCTTCCCAGGTCGGCTGGGGTCAGAGTCAATAAGGGCCTGGGGTTGGGTGGTGTGAGTGGAGGAGTTCCTGCTGGGCTACGGGGCTTATCTCAGATGACCTCATGTTGGACCAGCTTGTGGAAGGATCTGGTTCCCCAGGGGACTGTGCATTCTCAGAGAATGGGGACCACTTCACTCACCCTTTGTCCCCATATCCCTGTACTCAGCACAGCACCCTGTTGTACTCAGAAGAGTCTCAGTGTACATGAACGGGTGGATGCATATATGTATGTATGTACGGATGGATGGATGGATGGATGGATGGATGGATGGATGGGAGGGGTACATGGATGGGCAGGTGGGTGGAGGGATAAATGGATGGTTGGATAGATGGGTGGATGGATGGATTAAAGGGTGGGTAGATAAGTGGATGGATCAGAAGGTGGGTAGATGGATGAGTGAATGAATGGATGGAAGGGTGGATAAATGGGTGGATGGCTGAATGAATGAGAGGGCAGATGGATGGGTGGGTGGATGGATGAACGGATGGGTGGATGGGTGGATGGATGGATTGATGGATGGCAGGGTGGATGGAAAGATGGATGAATGGATGGAAACAAGGGTGGATGAAAGATTGGTGGGTGTGTGGATGCACGGATGCACGGATGAATGGATGGGTGGATGGTTGGATGGATAGATGGGGGGGTTGATGGGTGGGTGAATGGATG